CCCACCCCCCAAAGAAATAAATCTCTGGCATCATAAAGGTCATCTAATTTGATTTAATGTCTCTTCTTTAATATGTTAAGCCATGGCAACCACATCACGAGAGTTCAACTCCGAAAGGCAGAACGAAGTAAATATTCTTTCCTGTCTTAATTATTGTTAATGCGTAACGTGTAGTTCAGTAGATATGAAGTCTACAATTTATTTATTTGACAATGGTATGTTCATAATTGTATGGTACTGTACATATTTCACGGAATTCTTAACTTGAAAATGTCATTTAGAACTCTTATTTACAAAATGTATTGTCTTATTTTCAGTGATGGCGTTCTTTTGTAGCTGAAGAACAAGAGGTAGTATTCAACTTTTTAATAAATATAAATTGGCACAGTCTGTTTAAATTATTTCAATTCCCAGTCTGTTACATCCACCGTAGTATCATCCTTTACATGGCTGTAGTTTTTCTACCGTGTTATGCACCACTATTTATTACTTTTCTTCCCACATAATTGTTTCAGATTCAGATGATGCTGCTATCCCAAGTGTTTCTGGGTGTGGTGTTAATCAGAGTAGCATCTACAGGTGTGTATGTGGTGTTTTACTTTTCATTTCACGCCCCACCCCCACCTCGCCCTGTGTGTGCCTGTATTTATAGTTTCTTACAATCTTCTGCAGGATGTACACAAATTTGTATGCTCCTGTGGATGGTCAGGACGACGATGATGATGATAATGAGAATGAAGACATTGCTGCTGGCGGAAGTCATGAATTTTTAGGGAATGTAGAGTAAGTCTTAAAACCATGGGCTTAGCTGAATATAATAGTATACTGTAATTGAAGTTTAATTGTAACATTCAAAAATAAGACAAACTGATGCATTTCTCTTGTTACAGGGAGACAAATTGTGTGACAGCTGCTGAAGTAATTGGGAACTTATCACTTGGCATAAATCACACAAATGTCAGCAGATTTAACATCACCAGATCAAATGTTTGGGATGGAGCTGTCAGAGGATTCAACTGCAGCTCCTACTCGCCAAACAATGACATGTTTGTGAAGTTCACAGACGATGCTGGACAGTTTGAAGATGGTATCGATACAGGTGGACCAAGGAGGGAATTTCTTACAATATTGATGGGTCATTTAAAGGAACGTCCAATTTTTGATGGCCCTCCACTGAGCCGTTACCTTGTATACAATTCTGCCAGTGTGTATGCAGTCACTTTCATTTTAATCAATACTACAAGGTTGCAAAAATTAGGGTTTAACAATCAAGCCTTGCTTTAAGATACCTGTATTCTAAAACCAAGGTGACATTGAGACATTTGTGTTGTATTTTGTAACAGCTGTCAGGGACGATGAGTATTTCTTGGCAGGGAGAATGATTGCGGTATCAATAGTTCATGGAGGACCTGGGCCCCATTTCCTTTCCAAGGACTTGGTGAAACACATTGTAGGCCAGCCTTGTTTCAGTCCAACTGTAGATGATATTACAGATGNCACGCTCAAAATTGCTTAAATCACCTTTCTTTCCCATTCTGACATTCAGTTTGGAGTTCAGGAGATTGTCTTTACCAGGACCACACCCCTAAATGCATTGAAGCAACTGCCATGTGATTGGTTGATTAGATAATTTCATTAATGAGAAATTGAGCAGGTGTTCCTAATAATCCTTTAGGTGAGTGTATATGCTGTATGAATTACTTTGGGCTGTGCCATAAGGAAAAGATTCTAGCTGGGGGGGCATTTTATGGCAGGCCACCCTGCCACAGAATGCCCCCCCTGTCTAACTGGCTGGGAAAATGCTACATGCATCAAACTTGCACGACTTACTCATATGTATCCCTTATATATGCGGTATGAATTACTTTGGGCTGGGCCATAAGGAAAAGATTCTAGCTGGGGGGGCATTTTATAGCAGGCCACCCTGCCACAAAATGCCCCCCCTGTCTAACTCTGGCAATTACTCATATTTATTCCTTATTTATACTATACAAATTACTTTGGGCTGTGATGTAAAGAAAGTTTCAACTCTGATTGGGATATGTAAAAATAGGGGAAAAAAACAGAATTTCATAAACTTTCTCAATAACTCTGTTTTTAAT